CTCCGAGTAGCTTATACAGGCATGCGCCACCAGCCGGCTAATTTTTTCTATTATTAATTAGTTGCCAATTAATTTATTCTATTTATAGTAGAGACGGGTCTCGCTCTTGCTCAGGTTGGTTTCGACACTCCTGAACTCAAACGTCCGCCCGGGCTGGCTCTCCAGAGAGCTAGGATTACAGGCGTGAGCCACCGCGCCCGGCCTACAGAGAGATCTTGTATATCTTTCACTCTATCTCCCCAACAGTAACATCCTGTATAACCATAGTAAAATAGCAACAATCAATAAATTGACATCAATATAATTTGACATCAACTTTATTCAGATGTCACCAGTCTTATATGCACTCCTTTCTCTGTGTGTATTTGGTTTTCTGCAATTTGACCACCTGTGTAGATTTGTGTGACCTGTGCTTGTTGGCCATCTGTCTGTCTTCTTTGCAGAAATGTCTATTTCACTCTTTTGCCCATTTTTAAAGTGGGTAGTTGGTTTTTTTATTGCTGAGTTGTTAGGAGTTCTTTATATATCCTAGATACTAATCCCTTAACAAAACATATGATTTGCAAAATTTTCTCCCATTATGTGAGTTGCCTTTTCATTCTGTTGTTAGTGTTTTTTGACACGTTTAAGTTTTTAATTTTGGTGAAGTCTAATTTATCTATTTTTTTTGTTGCCTGTGCTTTTGGTGTCCTAACCAAGAAATCACTGCCAAATCCAATGTCAAGAGGCTTTTCCCCTGTATTTTCTTCTAAGAGTGTTATAGTTTTAGCTCTTCCCATTTAGGTCTTTGATCCATTTTGAGTTAATTTTTGTACATAGCATAAGGTAATTCATTCTTTTGCATATAAATATCCAGAACCACTTATTTAAAAGACTGTCTTTTCCCCCACTGAATGGTCTTGGCACTTAACCGGGTCTTTTGGAGAAAGTTGTAATTTTAATAAGATCCAATTTATTAAATTTTCCTGCCATGTGTCATGCTTTTGATGCAGCCTAGGAACTCTTTGCTAGCCCTAGACCTCAAAGATTTTCTCTCCTTTTCTTCTAAAAGATTTATAGTTTTACATTTTACATTTAAATCTGTATTTATGCCTTTTAAATTATTGTCTTATTGACTTTGGTTAGATCTTAGATAGTTCATAAATCACTCTGACAAGGATTGAGAAATATGTGACGATCTAAGTCAGACTTCCAAAGTAGTAGAATGAGATTCTTATAATGAAGAACATAACACTTTAACCACAATATACCTTACTGTGCAAGGTTTGTGTTTTTGTTTGTTTTTTTTGCAAAAAGTATGAGCTTAAGATCAGAATAATGGGTGTGTGTGTGTGTGTGTGTGTGTGTGTGTGAAATATGGGGGAAGTTCCCTTACCTACTCCATCTGCCTACCCACTTTTTTTTTTGGGACAGAGTCTCGTTTTGTTGCCCAGGCTAGAGTGAGTGCCGTGGCGTCAGCCTCACTCACAGCAACCTCAAACTCCTGGGCTCAAGCGATCCTCCTGCCTCAGCCTCCTCCCGAGTAGCTGGGACTACAGGCATGGCCACCATGCCGGCTCATTTTTTCTTATAGTATTTACAAAAATTAACTCAAAATGGATCAAAGACCTAAATGGGAAGAGCTAAAACTATAACACTCTTAGAAGAAAATACAGGGGAAAAGCCTCATGACATTGGATTTGGCAGTGATTTCTTGGTTAGGACACCAAAAGCACAGGCAACAAAAAAATAGATAAATTAGACTTCATCAAAATTAAAAACTTAAACATGTCAAAAAATACTAACAACAGGCCGGGCGCGGTGGCTCATGCCTGTAATCCTAGCTCTCTGGGAGGCCGAGGCGGGTGGATCGCTCGAGGTCAGGAGTTCGAAACCAGCCTGAGCAAGAGCGAGACCCCGTCTCTAGAGGAAGGGAGATGTGAAAACATACCTAATGGGTACAGTAAATACTATTTGGGTTATGGGTGCACTTAAAGCTTTGACTCAAGCAGTACAAAAGCGATCCATGTAACCAAAAACATTTGTACCCCCTTAATACTTTGAAATAAAAGTAGGCCAGGAACAGTGGCCCATGGCTGTAATCCTAGCACTCTGGGAGGCCGAGGCAGGAGGATCACTTGAGGTTAGGATTAGGAGACCCCATCTTTACCAAAAATAGAAAAAATTAGCCAGGCGTTTTGGCACATGCCAGTAGTCCCAGCTACTCGGGAGGCTGAGGCAGGAGGATCGCTTGAGCCCAGGAGCTTGAGGTTGCTGTGAGCAAGGCTGACGCCACAGCATGCTAGCCAGGGTGACAGAGAGAGACTGTCACACACACGAAAAAAAGAAACGAAAAGAAAAAATAAATAATGTATTGTTACTAGGGGGAAAAAATGTAATATCCAACAGTAAAAATATGGTATAAAAAATGTAACATCCAAAATGCCTGACATATGTATTTTTTCCAGTGTGTTTATTAAGCTAATGCAAAAGTACAAAGAATGCATTGTTTTCCAGAACATTCATCTTTAGAGTCTTCTGAAATAGCTGCTCAGTAACATGTCGTGAGAAAAGTTGAGATTTGCAGAGCATTTGTCATTTCCTCCTGCGTTGCTAGTTTATTTAGCAACCATTTGTTTCTACAGCTCACGTCCGCCAAGCTACAGACTTATGGACACGTCAGATCCTAAATCCATACATGTCAACACGAGCACTAAAAGTAGGTTGGAAGTCCGCCTTTGGTACTTGGCTCTTCTTAAAGTGCTAACCCAGGCCGGGCACAGTGGCTCACGCCTGTCATCCTAGCACTCTGGGAGGCCAAGGCAGGAGGATCGCTCCAGGTCAGGAGTTCGAAACCAGCCTGAGCAAGAGTGAGACCCCCGTCTCTACTATAAATAGAAAGAAATTAATTGGCCAGCTAATATATATACAAAAAATTAGCCGGGCGTGGTGGCGCATGCCTGTAGTCCCAGCTACTGGGGAGGGAGGCTGAGGCAGGAGGATTGCTTGAGCCCAGGAGATTGAGGTTGCTGTGAGCGAGGCTGACGCCACGGCACTCACTCTAGCCTGGGCAACAAAGCGAGACTCTTTTTCTC